GTCATGCATATGTAGGAGTGTGTGGTGGTGTGGCATGTCATGCATCGGTCACTACTGCGCCAAGTTCCCTCGGAATGTTCATGGGCCAAACAGTTGGACAAGTAGCGGTAGTGGAGAACCGCGTGGAGCCCTTTAACAGCGCTGGGTTTGCGGAACTGTTGGCATTTCCGGAGCGGGTTGATTCCGCTGCAGACTCGGCAACGGTAGGACTGCGTGCTTTTGCGTCGGCTGCCTTCAAGGACAGCAGCACTGCGAGTGGGGAGGAATTTGTCCGGCGAACCGTTTGACGAAACTGAAGTTCGTGTCGATAACACAGACAGGCCGCTCGTGGCTGCTGTAGAGACTGGGTGAGGACCCATCCGAAGATCGTCACTTGCGCCAGGTGAGAGCCGAAAATGTTATTTTTGGAACCGCCCAGAAGCACAGACGTAAGTATGTCAGCTCCAATCAGGACTTCGATTTCAGAGCTCTAGAGAACATTGGATCCGCTAATAGTAGATAAGGATGCTCCTTTAGGATATGATGAAAGTAGGGATGTCGAAAACATATCAAAATATCAATATATCGATATTTTTTGCGAAAAAATAAATATTTTTATCGTGATATTTTATTTTTTATAATTATCATGTATCATTGATATTTTTTTGAGATTTATTTGTCTACGTCTACCGATCGTTTCTATGGCAGATATATGATATAGTTGTCCGATTTTCATTAAATTAAATCTGAAATAATAAAATAAGCCTACATCTCAGAGTAGATGAAAATTCGTTGAAAAACAATTATGTTATTATTTATTTTCTATTAATTTCCCGATCGTTCCTATGGTAGCTATAAGATATAGTTGTCCGATTTTCATAAAACTTATACCAAAATTCTGAAGTATTATAATTATCTCAAAAATAATTCCAAAATGTTGAAAAACAGCCAAGTTATAATTTTTTTCTAAAAATGTATCGAATATTTGTATGGCAGCTATATGATATAGTCGTCCGATCCGGCCCGTTCCGACATATATAGCAGTGAGAGTATATAGAAGACTATATGCAAAGTTTCAGTCAGATAGCTTTAAAACTGAGGGACTAGTTTGCGTAGAAACAGACAGACGGACAGACGGACAGACAGACGGACGGACAGATGGACATGGCTAGATCGACTCGGCTGTTGATGCTGATCAAGAATATATATACTTTATAGGGTCGGAAATTTCTCCTTTACTGCGTTGCAAACTTCTGACTAAAATTTTTATACGCTGCAAGGGTATAATGAAAATGTTTGCTTTATTATTATTTAAGCATGTTTTGTTATCTTTTATATAAGATCTTTTTTTTTTATTTAATTTTAATATAAATAAAAGCAAAAGAAAGTAAAAATAAATATAGTTTTCTTTCATTTCTTAAAATATAATTTAAGATCGTATGTGGATTAATGTTTAGTGGTTATTGCTTATGCAGGTTGAAATTAAAAAAAAAATAATTATAATAAACAAAAAAATCAAAAATATTTGATATATCGATATTTTTTTTTCTAATATATCAAATATCATTTTGATATTTTGTTTCAATAAAAAATATCATCGATACGATATTTTTAAATATTTCGACAAACCTAGATGGAAGTTTTCCGGCGAGTTGGGGAAGAACAAAGGCAGTCGTTTTTAACTGCAGCCGGAGGGAGTTGATAAATGGCAAAGCTTGGTAGCTTGAGCGGCAACTGTCTTGAGACCGGAAACTTGGGTCTGAACTGGCTGGAACGGAAGTTTGACGAGATTGAAAAGCTTCTCCGTTATAAAGTTTGCTTCAGTACCCTAATCGATCAGAGCCGTGCCAAGCAGGACAGCTCTTGATCCTGACGCAAAACACACTTGCACATTTGAGTGGTAGTCGGAGGCTGCAGCGCTTCTTCCAATAGGCATGGGTCGTGGACTAGATGGACCTAAGAGTCTGTAGAGACCTGTAGTCATTGGATTGTCGTGGTGTACCAGAGTATTATGGCGGCTGTAACACGTAAAGCAGGAATGGGCACTAGTACAGTCCCGCTGCTGGTGCACTCGCGAAAAACAATTTAAACAGAGTTTCGTTCTTCTGATGAAATCTGCCCGCTCATTGACATTGATTTCCAGGAACCGCACTGGTGGGTTTGGCATTTGATGACCTTGGCGGAAATGGCCAGAGCCGCTATGCCTGACGTCGTCGATGGGCTCCTACGTGCGATGTCGCTCGGTCAGAAACGCGTCCAACTCTTCCAGGTTGGAATTTCGGCCTTATTGTGTATGGATTGCTGCCACATGGAGCAGCTATCTTAGAGCGACTCCGGATTCTTGGGGAACAGCCTGGATGTTAAAAAAATCTTCAGTTGACTGTTGTCTAGCACCCTCTTATTTTTAGAACGGTCGGATTCAGAGATGAAACCCTCGTTGGTCAGAGGGTCCTTTGAAACGATTGCATGCGCATTGCCACTCGTCTTGGAAAGTAGGTGAAACAACCTCTCTACTGGCGTGGGTCTGGAAATATTAATGTAAATCACCGCGAAGAGGTCCCTGAAAAGGGGCCTCCTGAGATAGTCGCCTGTGAAGACCTCGGTGTCCACTGAAGGCAGGCGACAACCTGTAGAAGGAAGTTGTTGGACACTGACGGAAGCCTGAGTGACCTGGCAGGCGGCCTTGTCGTTTAAGTCTTTAAGCTGGATAACACACCTCGAATAGACGGAGTAACAGTAACTGTATTTGGATTCGAGGACTGTCGAGGTGGCGGTACTGTAGGCGGTCACGGAAAGAAGATCGTAGCAGCTGTCATAACTCTTCACCTTTCCCCACAGGGCCCGGATTTGGTCCCGATGGACCCGGCACATGGAAGGGGGAACTCTCTCAGTTTCAAGGGCGTTTGGAGTGTGGGTATTCCCTTCAAATTGGCCGGGTCTGTCGTGGCAATAAACTTTTTGAGGGTGGTGTCTACCGCAGTCTGAGCCATCTTGAAGGCCCACCGAGTTAGTGTTGACGAGGGACCGGAGCGAGTATTGACGGACTCGTCGCTTTTTGCCCTTGAATTGGCAGTGGCAGCCCTTGGTTGTAATTGATACGGCCACGAAGACGCGGATTGCGACCTGTCCAAAAAGATTGATGCATGCTAGGACTCGGACTAATTGAATTGAGTCGTCCACCGTTCGATTAGGATCATTACTGTATGTAAACACTATGTATGCACTATCTCTGGGCTTGTCTTGAAACACAAGTTCAAAAGTTGATTCTTTTTAGTTTTTTTATTGTTTGGCTGGAGGTTGAGGATGTCAGTTACCAATCTATGCAAATGTATGTAATCTATGTAGGTACATATGTATGTACGGTATGGAAAAATATACAACGGATCCGAAGAAGTGGAAGAAAAAACTCTACCCAAAAGAAACGGCGATTCTTATGGCATAGCAGAACGAAGTAAAGGCAAATGAAAGTGGAGAAAATCGGATTGGAATGGATATATGTAGATCTTTAAGTTTTCTTATTGTCGTGGTGTCGAAAATCTCGGACTTGGAGGTGACAAAAGAATGGTACGGCAGGTATAGCAAAATTGAATGTCCAACCAACTACTGACGATCGGCAATTAGAAACGGGAGGAGGTCTTTTACATACCTTTTTGCGGTGGCACAACCACAGCTGCTATAAAAAAAGGATTCCAGGACGATATCCTTATCCAACTCCAATGACCATGTGTAGGAGGGGGGTGGCTAGGAGATCTTTCGCAATAGGATCCAGAACAAAATAATTACATGAAGAAGAAGCGTAGAAATTGGGGATTGAAAAATTACATTGACATGGAGCGCCCGTTGCATATATTTGACAAGGGCTGCTGCCGATCGAGAAGCCCAGCATAACAGCCCGAGTGCGAGTGGACCTTGAAATGGAGTGGACTAGCCGTCCCTAAGCTAGCCTAGCAGCGAACGACGATCGGGAACAAGGGTGCGTGTGATCGATAGCGTTGATAAGGTGGGAGCGCTTGAGCTTTTGGAAGCTCGGCGGGCAGAGGGGGAACAGGGGGCTCCTGGCCTGAACATTCCGCGTGCAAGTCGGACGTATATGGCAGACGATGACCACCATAGTTATACTAATAAACAGTTCACTTATAGTAGTTGTCGACGGCCAAACATTGTAATCGATAGGTAGAATAAGTGTTGGAAGGAAATTCTAGTATTTTGTAAGTTATCCGATGTTGTATGGATTTCTTGGCCCATGAAGTAGGGGCCTACTAATATCGGCACTGTGAATGCCGCCTAAATTGTGCCTTTTCATTGTCTTGTGAATTGTAGGAGGGCACACTGCGGTAAGCTTAAGTTAGTTTAAAAATGTATTAGGCTAATTTAATGTATTCACAGAATAAAACCGCACCCTTGAAGTTATCCCTCTCTTCGGACCTACTTGTGTGGGGGGCCGTTTAAGGCAACTCCGCATGAAGCAAGACAACTCCTTTTATTCGCAGTCCTAGGGTGACTGCAAGGGCAACTTGCGCTGGATGGTCTGATGCCCAGCTAGAGAGTTGCCAGGAGCGCATTCCCGTCCCAGTAGCAGAGTCGCAGTCAGCGATATAGTGGAGCGCAGCCAGCGCCGAACACTGGGTACGGACGGAGACGCAGTCAGCGTCAATTGAGGTATCCGCAGCAAGCGGACAGAAGGCGCAAGGAGCGTCAAGCGTCGGTGTGACGCAGGCAGCGGCACAAGGGTCGCCATTTTGAAGCGCGCTGAGGCAGCGCCATATTGAACCTGGGATGCAGCATTCCCCCAGGAGGAGTTCCCGGCTGAACGGAGGGGAAGCCACCCCTACAACAACGCGAGCGGATCAGCAGCCAGCGAGTAGTGGAGCGGGAAACCGGCACAAGTGAACATAACCACGGCGGCGGCCATTTCTCGCCCAGCCACTACGGTGACTACAGTAGCGTCCCAACCGAGGAGTACTGCTGTCACAGCTGCGAGTTCAGTGCCGGAGGAAGGCCAGCCACTCACGTCGTACCTTATGGAGAGGATTACGGCGTTGGAGAATGAGCTGAGGCAGGTTAAAGTCCTGAACAGTGAGAGCACCGCCAAACGCGCGCCAATCGCAGTTGGCCCAAGCGCAAATGGCGCCAACAGTGAAGCGTCGGGGCGGCCGCCATCTTGGAGCGGGCCGCCAGTAGCCACATCTAACGGTGAGGCCCCAACTAACGGGGTCGGGCCTGTTCCACATAGCTGTGTCGGTGCGAGCAGTACGGCCTGCACGCAGCCGCCATATTGGAGTGGACCGCCATTGCTAACGACTAGCATAATCTAGTGGAGCCACTGTGTGCTACGAGTGTTGCGCAGACGGCGCATGGATTCGTGCTACCGGGCGGGAGCATCCACAACGTGGCAACAGCATCGCCATTTGTTGGATCCTACGCCTCGATGACGCCGAATGGAGCCCAAGGAGCGAATGGGCCAAGAAGGCTTCCGGACCTGCCTGTATTTGGAGGGCAGCCCGAGGAGTGGCCTATATTTAACTGTGCATTTGTGGAGACGACCCAAGCATACAACTGCACAGACCTGGAGAACAACCAGAGGCTGTTGAAGGCGCTGAAGGATGAAGCACGCGAGACAGTGAAGTCGCTACTGATTCACCCTGGGAACGTCAGCGCCGTGATGGAGCAGCTGCGCTTTAGGTTTGGCCGACCGGAGCAGCTTATACGCAGCCAGCTGAACAGCGTGCGAGAGGTGCCGCCGATTTCGGAGCAGCACCTGGCGAGGATCGTCCCCTTCGCAACCCGAGTGAGTAACCTCACGGCCTTCTTGCAGTCAGCGAAGGCGGAGCAGCACCTGGGGAACCCCACCCTCATGGAGGAGCTAGTGGCAAAGCTTCCTACGAGCAAGCGAGTGGATTGGGCCAGGCACGCTGCATCGATCGAGCCCTTTCCCACTGTAGCGCACTTCAGCACGTGGCTACAGGAGTACGCAAACATCGTGTGTACGATTTTGGACGTCGAGGGAAAGGAGCCGAGGCGTCGAGTCCTGCATGCGAGCGTCGACCAGAACGGATGCGAGCAGCGGGATGATCGGCATGGAGGTTGTCCCATTTGTGGAGGGCAACACGCTACGACGAGCTGTAGAGAGTTCATCGGAGCTTCGCCATCGAGAAGGTGGAGCATGGTGAAGAGGCATCGGCTCTGCTTCACATGCTTACGGATTGGTCATACAGCTAGAACCTGCAATGGGCACGGCGAGTGCCGAATCAACGGATGCCGCTAGATGCATCACCGTCTGCTACATGGAGCGGACGAGGGGCGAAGATGGCCGGAGCAGCAAAGTGGCTTCAGGCGCCACGACGGTGGGAACCAGCAGTCAGCAGTTTCCAGACGCAGCCCGGAAAGAAGGTCTTCGCCACGAGGTGGTTACAGGGACCACGAGAGGAGCCAGCAGCCGGCGGTTCTCAGAAATAGCCTGGAGAGAAGAGCCCCGCAGCCAGCGGAGGCACCTGTGCAAAGGAACTTAAGCTGCATTGACGCCGAGGGAGGCCGACTATTGTTCCGTATACTGCCAGTAACGCTGTACGGAGCTGGTCGCCAGGTAGATACCTACGCGCTTCTGGATGAAGGATCCTCCGTCACGATGATCGATGACGAGTTGTGGAGGGATCTGGGAGTGCGAGGCGAACATCGACAGCTTAACATTCAATGGTTTGGAGGAAAGGCCAGTAGAGAGCCCACCAACGTGGTGAGTCTAGAGATAAGTGGAGCTGGGAAGCCCACTCGCCACGCGTTGAGGAACGTGTACGCCGTTTCGAGTTTGAGTCTGCCGATGCAGACGTTATGTCGGCGAGATGTCCAGGGCGTGCATAAGGATGCGCGTCTGCCGATGAAGCCCTACAGCAACGCGGTGCCGAAGTTGCTCATCGGACTGGACCATGGACATTTGGGATTGCCACTTAGGACGAGGCGGTTTGCCAGAGAGGGACCGTATGGGGCCGCAACCGAGCTTGGATGGGTTGTGTATGGGCCGGTAAGTGGACAATCGACTACGCCGTCACCGAGGTCCTGCCTTCTAGCCGTGTCAATGGAAGATGCGATGGAAAAGATGGTAGAGGACTACTTCGAGATGGAAAGCTTTGGTGTGAAGCTCGCGCCACAGGTCGCAGCAAGCGATGACGCGCGGGCACAAAGGATCCTCGAAGACACCACGGTGAAAGTGGGGCGTCGCTACCAGACGGGACTACTCTGGAAGGACGACCACGCTGTGCTGCCACGGAGCTACGAGATGGCGCACAGACGGCTGATCAACGTAGAGAAGAAGTTGAGGCGCAACGGGCAGTTGGCGCTGGAATACGATCGTATTATCAAGGATTACGTGTCCAAAGGGTATGCGAGGAAGCTGCAGCCGGATGAGGTCGCCGTGAAGAGCGACAAGCTATGGTATTTGCCACATTTTGGTGTCGAAAACCCGAACAAGCCCGGTAAGGTCCGGCTTGTGTTTGATGCTGCAGCCAAGGTTGGAGGAACCTCTCTAAATTCGGCGCTGGACAAGGGGCCTCAGCACTATAAGCCCTTGCCAGCCGTGCTCTTCCATTTCAGGGAAGGAGCAGTCGGAGTCTGCGGTGACATCAAGGAGATGTTCCACCAAGTGCTGATCCGACCCGAGGATCGATGTTCCCAACGGTTCCTTTGGAGAGATGGCAACGACGATCGAGACCCGGATGTGTACGAGATGAACGTAATGACGTTTGGAGCAGCCTGCTCGCCGAGCACTGCGCATTACGTGAAGACGCTGAATGCCCTGAAGTTTCGGGATTCAGATCCGAGGGCAGTCAAGGCCATCATCGACCACCATTATGTTGATGACTATGTGGACAGTTTCGCTACAGAGAGCGAGGCTATTGCGGTATCTACCCGAGTGAAGGAGATACATGCGGAGGCTGGCTTCGAACTATGCCAGTTTTCATCCAGCTCACCCATCGTGGAAGCGGCGTTGGGACCACCTGGACGAGTCAAGAGCGTCGGATGGGGTGAGGCTGAGCAGAAGATCCTTGGAATGCGCTGGCAGGTAGCAACGGATGACTTCAGATTCAACGTGGAGTATCATCGAGTGCCAGAAAGCGTTCTAAGTGGAGATCGAGTCCCTACAAAGAGGGAGTATTTGAGCCTGCTGATGTCAACATTCGACCCATTGGGATTCCTGTGCTGCCTGATGATTACAGCGAAGCTGTTGCTGCGAGAGATATGGAGGCAGAAGATCCAGTGGGACGAACCACTACCGGAGGAGATAGGCAGAGCCTTTGCTGCCTGGCGCAGGCAGATGGACGCCGTGGGACAGTTCCGATGTCCTCGGCACTATTTTGGGCATGGAGCAGTTCGGACCATCGAGTTGCACGTGTTCGTGGATGCGAGTCAATCTGCATTCGCGGCGGTGGCCTATTGGAGGGTCATGTACGAGGATGGCAAAGTGCTGGCTAGTTTCGTGTGCGCAAAGACGAAGTGCGCGCCGATGAGAACGATGTCAATCCCACGGCTGGAGCTGCAGGCAGCGGTTCTTGGAACCAGATTGATAAACACTATCAAGGAGGAGCACAGTGTGGACATCAGCGAAACGGTATTATGGACGGACTCAAAAACGGTGCTGAGATGGATCGGCAGCACCCACCGCCGGTATAAGCAGTTTGTTGGCAACCGAGTGGCGGAGATTTTGGAGTCGTCGGAGGTTTCCCAGTGGAGATGGGTACCTACAGCTGACAACGCAGCGGATGATGCGACGCGGTCGCAGAACAAGGCGGACCTTAGCCCGGAATCCCGGTGGCTAAGCGGTCCCGCATTTTTGAGGCAGCCAGCGAGCGGCTGGCCAGTGCCTGAGGAGGGAACTGAGCGTGTTCCGGATGCATCTGATGACGAGGAGATGCCGAGTGAGTTTGCATTGGTGGCCACAAATGAATTTGTCATTCCGTTCCAGAGATTCTCGAGCTTCAGCCGCCTGGTGAGGACCACAGCCTGGGTCTTGAGGTTTGCGCGTTGGTGCCGCAGACAGAGAAGCGAGCTCGAGGAATACGGACTCACTGCAAAGGAGTGGGAGGCCGCGGAGAACCTGCTGGTCAGGCAGGCCCAATTGGAATCGTTTCCCGATGAAATGAGGTCGGCGAAACACGGAAAGGAAGTCGCCAGCTCGAGCGAGATTCGAGGTCTGGCGCCGTACATGGATGAACATGGAGTTCTGCGAGTTCATGGCAGAGTTGATGCTGCGCTGTGCATGCCGTACAGTGCGAGGAGGCCTGTGATACTGTCACACAGGCACAGTCTTACTGAGATGATTGTGAGACACTTCCACGCCCAGATGAAGCATCAAAACGTGGATGCGACGATTGCTCAGATCCGGACGAGATTCTGGGTCACGAAGATGAGGCGCATGCTGAAGGAGGTGATCTCGTCGTGCTACGAGTGCAAGTTGCAGCGAACGCGGCCGATGCCGCCGATAATGGCACCCCTTCCAGAGGATCGATTGGAAGCGGGTGGATGGCCATTCAAATATACTGGATTGGACTACTTTGGACCACTGCTGGTGACTGTTGCCCGTCACCGAGAGAAGCGTTGGGTCGCCTTGTTCACGTGTTTGACGACAAGGGCGATTCATCTGGAGCTGGCGCATGACCTGTCGACGGATTCCTGCATAATTGCGATCAGGAACTTCGTCTGCCGTAGAGGACCGGTACATAGACTGCGGAGTGACAACGGCAAGAACTTCGTGGGAGCTGACAGGGAGGCCAGACGATTCGGAGACGTGTTCGAGACGGAGAGAATACAGAGTGAGTTATCCAGCAGGAGCATTGAATGGGTCTTTAATTGCCCATCGAACCCGTCCGAGGGTGGAGTATGGGAGCGGATGGTGCAGTGCGTCAAGCGAGTGCTGCGCCATACATTGAAGGAAGTCGCGCCGAGGGATCACGTATTGGAAAGTCTACTGATCGAGGCGGAGAATGTGGTCAATTCGCGTCCGCTCACCCACTTGCCGGTGGATGCGGACCAGGAGGCGCCGTTGACGCCAAACGACCTGCTCAAGGGAGCAGCTAACCTGCCGAATACGCCTGGTTTGGAGGCGGAGCTGCCCAAGGAGGGTTCTACGCGAAAGCAGTGGAGGATTGCTCGCATGCTGCGAGACCGTTTCTGGAGGAGGTGGGTCCTGGAGTACCTGCCTACGCTGGTGCGCCGCGAGAAGTGGTGCCGGAGAACGGAGCCCATCCGCCAGGGCGATATGGTCTTCGTCTGCGATCCTGCCTTGCCCAGACGAGAGTGGCGCAAGGGCATCGTGGAGGAGGTCTACAGCGGAGCTGATGGAGTCGTCAGACGCGCCAGTGTGCGCGTGAGCGACAACGGACTATCTCGGACAATGTTGCGGCCTGTCTCGAAACTTGCAGTTTTGGATTTGAGTGAAGCGGTTCTTCACGGGGTCGGGGATGTCGACGGCCAAACATTGTAATCGATAGGTAGAATAAGTGTTGGAAGGAAATTCTAGTATTGTAAGTTATCCGATGTTGTATGGATTTCTTGGCCCATGAAGTAGGGGCCTACTAATATCGGCACTGTGAATGCCGCCTAAATTGTGCCTTTTCATTGTCTTGTGAATTGTAGGAGGGCACACTGCGGTAAGCTTAAGTTAGTTTAAAAATGTATTAGGCTAATTTAATGTATTCACAGAATAAAACCGCACCCTTGAAGTTATCCCTCTCTTCGGACCTACTTGTGTGGGGGGCCGTTTAAGGCAACTCCGCATGAAGCAAGACAGTAGTATCAATTTGCTGTGCTTCAGTTTTAGACACAATGCAATGATCAATATAATTTATTTCTTTATTTATTTAACAAAAAAAGCGAATTTCTGCCAAAAAAAGCCATATCCTTACCTCACATCGAAAGCGAAGGTACTCTTCCCCATCGCAATCCAAGCGGACCGGGCGCTGAAGCTGCTGCAGCGTCAGAACCCGGATATCCCAACCGGGGACTGGAAGGTTCGGCACGTTGCGGCCCCATCACCCAAGGAGAGGGGGCAAAGTGCAGTCCTCCAGATAAACAAGGAGGCAGAGGACATCCTTTATCCCAGATACGAGAAGATGGCGTGGGGCATGGGTAGCGTATACCTGCGCCTCAAAAAGCGCCACCCCGGGGATAAGGTTGCTCACACCCTGAAGGCAGATGTGGTGGAGAAGGACCTAGGTCTGGAAACCATCGTGGATGCCGACCGGGAAATGACGCTGGATGAGTCCGACGATGGAGAGGACGGTGACCTGACCGTAGTAGTCAACCCGTCGTTTGGAGGTGAGGCCAGTACCCATGACACTCAGGGTGCTGCAGCTCAACCTCCATAAGAGCAAGGTGGCGTCGGTCTGGAGCCATGGATCGCCTCAGGCAATGCCATCGTCGGACTGAAGTCCGTAAATTACAATTTGCTCCATCCACCAACGGTTAGCAGGAATAGAACCGCCGTACTTGTACGGAAGGGTCTACACGCTAACCTTATGTCTCACTACAGCTCTGATGACCTGGCCGTGGTGATGCTAGAGAGCCGAAAAAGCGCCTTTTGGTAGCTTCCTGCTACATGGCACACGACAGGACGGCCCCACCAGAAGAACTCATGAGCTTCCAGCCCGAAGGACCAGCAACTGCTCGTGGGTGCAGACGACAGCGTATGGGGGAGCCCCGACATAAACGACAGAGGTGAGTCCCTCTTAGACTTTATACTCTCAACCAACCTGAGTAGAGCAAACGTGGGGGAGGAACACACCTATGTAGGTCCCACCTCCTCAAACGTGCTAGATCTTACTCTGGTAAGGGGACAAGGTATTTTGGTATCAGAATGGAAAGTCCTTGAGAGACCATCCTTCTCAGATCATAAGTACATACGGTTCCAATACGCATTCGAACACTCAAAGGCAAGCTTTGACTTTCATAGCGAACGTGTTTTTGTTTTGCGCTCCGAATTTTTGTGTTTCTTAGACATTTAAAACCAACCAAATTACAATTTCAAACTTTGCCGTTCTGCTACGCGAGTGCATGTGCATGTGGGTTTAAGTGTTAATTAATTTATATATGGGCATTTCCACAAAAACGTCAACCGCGGCCAAAACACTAAAACTTCTATAAAATGTTTTTTTCCAACATAGTAACATTAGGAAAAGGTCCAATTGATTAAAATTGAAGGGCTTTATCATATTCTAAAACAAATTTCGAAATATTCGAATGCATATTCGCGCAAACACGGTTTTTCATTATTTTGATGAAAAACATCATAAAAATGGGCCTGTTTTCTTTTGATAATTACATCCAAACCGAGGCATTATGCTTTGACTGTTGGTTACTAACATCACTAGAAGAATGCAAAAAGTCGAAATATAATGGATATATGCTCTTCCAATTTACTTATAATAGTAAAAATTACATGCAAAGTGTGATGATAAAAAATGTCGCGTGCGACATGTCGCGTGCGAATATGATTAAAATTAAATATAAAATAAACTACGCTATATTTCTGATTGTAAATTAAAGCATATGAAACTGACATTATTGCATCACATTTTAAAATTTGTTTCATTAAAATAGTCCCTGCCGTTTCGCTGAAATCAGTGTTTAAACAGCTCGCCGCGAAGGTGACTTCTGTTTTTGTCGCGTGCGAATCCTTCAGTTTTTTAAAATTTTCTTAAAATTGAGCAAACGCTTAAAATCAACATTTGCACAAATTATAGTCCTAGGCAAGAGCTATGAGTTAACATTTATAAAAAAAATATAAATGAAATGTATCATACTTTTTTTTGGTTTGAATGCGTACGAATGTCGCGTGCGACATTATGGAAATGCCCATATATAGTTAATTAATCACATTTAGTTTTTGCGTTTTTCTTGTCCCCTCTTTGTGTTGTCCCGTTGTCTAGCTGCACTTAAGCGGTCCCAAGCTTTCGTTGTTTCACCGCTCACCCACGCTTACGCTCCCGCTCTCTTGTTTTTTTTTCTCTCTTCTCTTCGGTACTGCTTATCTGTGCACCGTGGTTAAAGGTTCGTGAAAATGGTTTCAAATTTTATTTGCGATATTAAAGGCTGCCAAAAAGAGGTTTTGGCAGATCAGCCCAGCCTTTACTGTTGGCTTTGCGATGCGGTCGTTCACGCTAAGTGTCTAGACTTAACGGGCCGTATCGCTGACGCAACTTCTGCCAAATCTGGCTTGCGCTATTGTTGCCATGCCTGTCGTGAGGTGGAGAAGGATATGAAATCCTTCATGCGGCAAACCAGAAGTGGATTTAGTGAACTTAGGGTCAATTTTCGCAAAACAAATGACCTGTTCACAGCGCTAGACGCTCAATTTAGCGGCATGAAGCTGTTAAGCGAGTCGCCAACGGGCAAAAAATCGGCTGCTGGTCGGCTGCAATTGGGCGAACCACAGCCACTAAAAATTTGGCACACTCCCTCGGCACAGCCCCCGACACCGTCACCAACTCCAAAGGTGTTGAGATCGGGAACGGCTAAAGATTCGGCATTCGAAGGTGCCGGGGCAGTAATGGCAGCAGCTCCGCCAGTGTTATCAGTTGAGTCCGCTGCGGGGTCTCAATCTCTGACACCGCAGACTTCAAAAAAAATCTCAGCTATCCCAACGGGCAAAATAAGGGCTGAACCACTAGCTGAAGTCGGTAATGCTGCGTTACCAAAGACCATCACCGCTATTCCACCATTAAAAACAATTTTTGTTTCTCGGCTTGCCCCTGATCTCGCATCGGAAGATGTACTAGCTCATATACTGAGCAAAATACAAGCCAAAAATGTGAAAGTGGAAAAATTCAATTTCTCATACCCCAGAGATATCTCATCTTTCAAGATAAGTGTCTCCCTCGATCTCTTTGATACAATTTGTTCTGGTGACTTCTGGCCCGAGCACGCTGTAGTCAAGGAGTACGAGGTAAAAATAAAGAAAAAACGGCCTTCACGGCCGGCCGGCGTCACGGCAGTGCCAAAAAACTAAATACCTCCCTCCTACTTTCCTATCATAATACTAGAGGCTTACGCAGCAAGCTCTCTAAATTGTATTCTGATAGTTTTTCGTTTGCATCCCAGGTGCCCCAGATTGTGTTTACCGAAACCTTGTTAAAGCCGGAGATTCTCAGCTCCGAAATTTTTCCGGGTAAGTACACAACTTATAGATTGGACCGTCTTTCCCAGCGAGGTGGTGGAGTTTTAATTGCCGTTGACTCCACCCTTATTTCCGAACTGGTGCAAATTGACGATCTCACAGGTATTGAATTTATCTGTGTAAAACTATCATTTCCATGTAGTTTTATCTATATAACCTATTCTTACGTTCCTCCATCTGCTGAAGAGCCTATTTATTGGAAACACCTTTCGGCAATTCAGGCCGTTTCCAACATGCTTTCGGATAGAGACCAACTAAAACTCTAGGAGACTTCAATATACCTGGAGCTCGTTGGTCATCAGATGGTACTTCCAATGTCCTCCAAACTGCGGCACAGCATGACCTCATATATGGCTTGCTTGACATTTCATTGTCCCAAGTTAACCATGTCTTAAATTCTTTAAATCGCTTACTAGATCTGTGTTTCGTCTCTGATCCTGTAGGTGTAAACTTAACAAGAGTCGATCCATTGACGCTTCCCGAAGACCCTTACCATCCTACTTTCGAAGTGACCATCGATTTGGGGACTGTCGTAAAGACGAAACCTTATCTGAGTTGCTCAGCGACTAAAGTTCGCTGCTTTCGTAAGGCAAATTTTCAAAGGCTAGATATCTTGATTTTCAAATTTAATTGGTCTGAACTTTACAGATGCACTGACATGGCGTCCGCCGTGGATATTTTTTACAGTGCCATGAATGCGTTCTTTGCATCGTGTGTTCCGTTAGCCTATCCGTCGGTTTCTAGTAAACCATCTTGGTTCACCAAAGAGCTAACACGCCTAAAAACGTTAAGTCTAGGCTTTATAATCGCTATAAACGTACCGGATCTCTCACTGTTCTTTCCAGATATCTTAGTGCTCGGTCGGATTTCACCGTGTTTAACGCGCAGTGTTATAAAAGTTATTTAACTCGTTGTAGGGTTCAGTTCACGTAGGACCCGAAACAGTTTTATAACTTTGTTAACACTAAGCGAAAACCCAATCTACATCCTTCATCGCTTTCGTTCAAGAATGCTACAGCAAACTCTGATCAGGCCATCGCCGATCTCTTTGCTGACTTTTTCAAAACTACGTATTGCTCCTCAAATAGCTTAGATCAGACTTACTCTTTTGATTTGCCCAGGTCGAATCTAATTTTCAGTCCTATTTTAACCGAAAGCTCCCTTAGTTCGGATCTTCATCGTGTAAAACCAGTTTACTCACCGGGTCCCGATGGAATACCAGGCTGCGTGCTCAGGTATTGTGCCGGAGCTCTGTGCAATCCCCTTCTGAAATTGTTTACCTTATCTTTAGAAACCTCAGAATTTCACCT